GTTCCTAGTAAGGCCAGGAGCCCCTAGTAGCCTCTTGTTCCTAGTAAGGCCAGGAGCACCTCGATCGTAGCGTCCAATCGCTCCGTTCGTAGCGCCCTTTACTCCGTTCGTAGCGAGCATTCTGTATATGTCCGTAAGTTGCCCCCCCGAAAAGTGTTGTAAATGTCAAACGGTGGGACGACAAACAAAAGTGACGTCGCCTGGAATCACACACACAAACAAGCCACGAACAAAAGACTCAAGAGGGACTCTCTCCGCGCATGGTGCCCTGCCAAATCATCCAACGACTCCCAGCGAAAACACACGCAAAACAAACAACACACAAAGGGACCTTCATGAATTCGATGTTGGCATGGCAGCTCCTTGAGCTGATCTCCTTGAGCATAGGGCTCCTCGTTTTCAGACCGACATCGCAGGTCGGTTCACGGCGGAAGCATCGGGTCAGACATCGGTTCGATGCGACTGAAAGTTCAAACGGAAGGGTTTTGGTGGATGATTTCAGTGATGGTATCCTGTTCAAATGATTTTCTCCTTATAATTGCTATTCCTAGAGGGTCTAGTTTCCCAAAAGTTGGCTGAACGCACCTAACCAGCTGAACAAACTCAACCCAATGCATGTTACGAACTGTCTCAAATTTGGCCCCAACGCCTGGCAAATGGGGCAAGTGGTGGGTTCATCCTTCCTGGGAGCGGACCATGCTGGCAGTGTGAGTCTTCTGTGCGGAAGAGTTGGGGGTCCAGTATAGGTTCAACTTAAGTGCCAAACATGACTACTATCTAAGTTACATTAAGCTACTAGGCATATTATACTATATGCAAGAAAATAGGGATGCACACTACAGTAGCTATCCCATGCTATCCCTATTTGCACTACGTGGCTTCAATACAAACCAGGCCAATCCTCAGACCTTACCACCAAATCAGCCATCTGCAAAAGAAATCTCCCCACCTAGCTCACGCGGCATGCGGCTATATTTATAACCACCAACAAAAACGGATGACTCTGCCTAACTCAGTTCAAAAGACCAAATATAACCTGACTCCCCAAAAAAGGTCTTTTGGGAAACACAGCTTTCACGTTCATGTCTACTTGGAAACCACACCAAGAAAGGCAAATACAATGAACCTCAAAATCCTTTGGGACATTCAAGTACTATGAATCTTCGTCAAACATCTCAGCAATCCTAGCCGAAGGACGTTTCAGACTCATGCCCCAAACAAACACACACACGTTGAGTCGATAAACCGATCTAAACCGAGCTGGCTTGACAGCTTGTTTTGTTCGCCTGGCTTTACAATCTACCCAACATGAAGATAATCCTCGAGCCGTGAAGCCATAAAGTTTTTTGTTCTGTGAATCTTTCTTGATTCCCACATTGAATCTATCAGCCAGGTCCTAAAATAACAAAACAAAAAAAACAAACACAAGGTGGATCCACCCATTAGTTTACCAAGTTGTTTGGAAGGACATCTTCTCTTTTCTGCCCACTCTTTGCCTCCTTGTCTTCTAGCCGAGCAGCACTGCTTCCTCGAAGGTGTAGCTGGGGAATGCCTCGATGCGCTCGGGTCGGTTTGACTGGAGGTATTCATGGTCAAATCGTCTTTTCACGCCCCTAATCAGAACACATGCAGTCAAAGAAGTGGTCTACATCTGATCTCCCAAGTATATCAGTGGATGGACGGGGCCCGATCGAAACCTGGAGCCCGACCAGTCCACCAATTGCCGCGAACGAGCGACACGAGCTAAGTCAACCGTTCGGTTTATCTCCTGGTGTCATGACCCACAGCCATATTTCTATAATTTTCGGCTGGGGTTTCTGGTCACAGCCATATCGGTGGATATCGGATGATATCGGTTCTATCTCAGGATTCATGTTTGGATGCCTGATGCAAAATCCTGCCCTGCTCAGAAGCTGGTGACAACCACCCCGCCGTGCTGTGTGGATTCCTCATCCTCGCTGGCAGAACTCCAAAGAAGTCTCCCCAAGAGTCAGATCGCACGGAGAATCCAAAGAATTCGCGCCAAGTGGCATGAATCACTTCGCTGTCGAGTCCCAGGATATGATCCTGATCTCCCAGATCCAACCTCAGTCGTTTGATGTCGTTTGTGGGTTGACGGAGACACCTGGGGTTGGCACTGGTCATGGAAAAAACAACAGCGATCCGTTGGTTAAAGGCGCCTGATCACCTTCCACGATTTGAAAGCATTCTCAGAAGGATGATCACAAAAACTTGTTGACCAAGCCAGTACCGGTTTCTTGAAAGCAAACAGCACACTTCCAAGCGGACAGTTTCAAGTACAGCTCTGCATCCAGTTGTACCTAGCGTGACTACAGAATCCCACTTGAATCGGAAGCCCATCCAAAGCGTGTTCCAGAGTTCTGTCTCTCAGGCTTCTCTGAGCATATTTAGCGCTCTCCATCTTGTTTCTATCCATTTTGAGACAACTACCTGGACCATCCAATGCGTGTTCAATGGAGATCCCTAAGCAGTGCAGCACCCAATGGATGGTTCTGGCATGGTGGGATCGTGTAAAACACACCGCAAGAATGTAGCAAACCGGATCTACCTTCCGCTGGTTTCTGAGCGCCGCACACTCCGTCCTGCCGGCAAATGAGCTGGACGGAAACTGGGTGGGGTCATCTCATCTGGAACGGTGATTGATGTGATGATTCCAAACAAGAAGTTGAAGGCAGTCAAGGGGCGACCTAAAGCAGGAATGAGCGGCGCTAGATCGATTCTCGCACGTGCGCGCCATGGGCGCGTCTCGCACATGTGGCGCTGTGGGCCGCGCTGAGCGCTTCGCATACGTGCCTCACCCACATGTACCAGGCGCCCATCGGTGAAGGACTCGTCGGCATCCTGCGAGGCAGTGAGGACTGGTCAGGAGCTGTGGCAGGACGAAGGGTGGATGCTCTTTTTGGTTAGTTACCCAGACCAAACGAATGGAATAGTTGCATGAAAACGACCCCAATGGGCTGGTAACTATTCCAGTCTCATGGATGGTCTGATCTCAGCCGCTAGAAATGGTTTGAGTGCAATATCTGGCAGCTGTTCATTGATGATATATAAATCCAACAACAATGTTTAAAGGCTTTTCCCAACTCCGACCTTTCTAAGATACAGCTTATATGTCAGCATTTGTCCACTGGTTGATAGCCCCAAAACCAGGCGTTGCAACAAGTTACATCCCAAAGACCGCCTTTAGACCCGCCAAACCCTTTGTTTCCCGAATTTCCTTTTAAAATCTTTTAATTACATCCGGTCCTCTTGCAAAGTTAAGCACGCTCCGCTAGCCGCTAGCCAACTGCCTAGGACCCACCCTCCACTTTCCCCCAGCCTCCAACAGCACCGCTGTCACGGCACCCGCCACAGTGCCCGGCGCCACATCGGGCGCGGTGCCCGTCTCCGTCGTGGAGGTGGATCTCGGCCGAGTGGTCAGTTCCATGAGGATTTTAAGAAGGAATAGTTCTAGCATCGCTTGTAGGTTGGAGTCACATGTCGGGGTGTTTTTGGGCCCCATCCAGTGAGTGGATGTTCTGGGCACCCCTATCATCCAAGTTCGGCACCCCGTCTTGTGACTCCTGTTGATTTTCTTAATGCTGGAGGTTCCCAGCAGTTTTTTAGAGGTTTTGTCGACGTAGCTCAAGGGTGGCCTTGCCACGTGGCATGGGTTATAGGGGTGGGCCCCCGGGCTTTGGGTTCGGGCAAAAAGTGACTTCATTTGGGCAAAAAGTGACTTCATTTGGTCTTCCATTTTTAAGGTTTGTGTTTATATTTCTCCAGCTTTAACAAACTAGCAAGTAGGAAACTGCAAAAGGGCCGACCTTCTACTATGCAACTAGCTCCGTTCCCACGCATGTTGTCAATTTTTCAAAACCGACGATGACCAGGTCATGAGGGAAACACTGGGGACTCTCACTCAACAGTTCACCCCGTGCTTTTCGGTGCTGATATGCCTTGGCTCGACCCCTCTGCTCCTCAAGCGCTTGAACTTTCTGAGCCTTCTTTCGCCCAGGCGCTTTGGGCTTTTGCCCCGGCCCATCATCCTTGCATGGCTGGTGCAGGGTGTGCTATCTTCTTCGTGGGTTTCTAAACAATATCTGTTAAGTCAATCTCTTTTGATTGCCGGAAACCTGGGGGCCTACCGGGTATATGTATTTACATAATTTTACATGTATTTACGATACAAAAAGGTGGCACATAGCATGACCTGATGAATCATTGGATACCAATACCAATTTGTAGGGAGTATGCCGGTATCCTCCGCCCTGTAAAAGACATTATCATTCCAGTGCCTTTGTTTGTTTTGATTCGGATAGAATTTGGTAGTATGTTACTACTTGGTGTCAAATTCATGCAAAGGTGGTTCGTGGTAGAGACCGACCTGTACCTAGTGTACCTCAAACCACTTTCAAAGACTTGGCTTCAACGCAGCAAACTTCTAAACATCAACTCCCCAAACACATCATCTCAGTCAACTTCTTCACTCTGCTGCAATGACGTAGAATAGCTGAACCTATTTGATTCTCTTTTGATCACATGGCTTGGCCGTGAACCATGAATATTGGGCATGAACCAATCTTCAAAGCGGTCGAGTCTAATCGGTGCACAACTGTCACATATTGGAAGCAGTGCCAATGTCATGCGCCACGGAAGGGGCAGCTCCAACAGCTTCCAGCCCAACACTGCAAGAAGGACACCACGTCGGCCAATGACAAGTCGTCTTGCTCTGCGGAGTTGGCAAGTGTCATGTTGCTTGTCACCTGGTCCTCCAAGAACGAATTGACAGTCTCCTTGGACTTTGTGCTGAACTTGACCTCCACATCTGTTTCCGTCAACTGGTGTTTGTTACCGCTTGGTGCGCGGCCACCCAGGTCTATGGCAACAGATGTCCTTCTTCACTGCCGTTGCTTTTCATATTGTTCTCACTTGCTCACAGAAAAAGATGCTGTCTAATGCAAACAAAAATTGCCAAAGCCCTGCAGCCGCCCAGCTGAAGCTCTTTTTGCCACGCCTGGCTGGGCTGCCTGGCTGGCTCCGGCAGCCGCGTGCATCGATGCCGCCAGTGTTGCGACTCGTGGATATCGACGCCAGCCGCGAGCACTGTCGCCACCCCACATGGTGCGACCCACAACCACCACCACCACCACCACCACAACAACAACAACAACAACCATGTTGCAAGTCAGCGGAACAGGTTTCGCACAAGAACTCAAAGGCTCTACGCGTGAACTGCACAAGCTGGCATGCAGCCATGAAGAACTACACAGGCACCGGACTCAAGCAATCCTGAAACGTTTAAGATATTTGCCAAAAACTTCAAAGCTCTTCATCCACATCCTCAAACCTCAATCCTCTTTCAATCTTCTCCTTGCATTTGTTCCGGTCCGGTACGTGTTGGTGACCTCTCTCTCTCTTGGCCCCAAAAGGGTGAAGGGCACTGGTGAGCAAAGGAGGATTCCCTGGATACGTTTTGCGGGCCCACCATACAATCCACAGTATCCAACTTAGCAAAACACCACTGGAAGAGGAGGCCTAGAAATTCGTTTCTCACGTTTCATGGAACATCTTGAACCCAGTCAGTTTGCTGGTGCGCATATTTGTCTAGCCAGGCATGGAGTGGTTTTAGCCAGGCCATTCCTAGACTTGGTCCCAGGGTACCCAAGCTCGACGTTTTTGAATCCTGACCGCATCCACCTGTCCCTTCTCTCCAAATCTTCGCCGAGTGACCGGGAAATCATCACAGCCAGTCAGTCGGATTTCAGTTCGGCCACCAGCACTGGGGACTGGAATGGTCGGAATGAACCACAACTACTGGTGACTACCAATGCTTGGATGAAAACAGCGAGAATCATCTATTGCCCGGATCTTCACAGCAGTTTGCTCACGGATTGAAGTCATTTTTAGCCATCTCATCATTTCATTGGTAACTGCGATACTTGTATATAGAGGCTCTTGACGAACAAACTAGTACATCCTGGTACTCGTCTCCAGCATTGCCACCTTCCGACCCCGGTGAGCCAAGAAGAAACAGCGATTTGCACCGAGATCGGGTGTTGCAGCATGTTGCAACAAAAAGGCATCTCTGGTGGCCTCCAACAAAGGTCTCCTAGGTCTCCAACAAGTGGCAACGTGTGCGAGAAAAACATCCCCAGCCGATCTTGCGGAATGGAAGCTTCCAACCCAGCTTTTGGGATGCAACAAAGGGTGGCTCTGCTCCACGAACCTTCATGGATATGCGTCACACGTCAAGAAAACCGAGAAACAAACATCACATAATTCGACGGATTTCAGAGCTTAGCAAACAATTGAGCTGGGCCAACAACAAAACATGAAGACACTAATTCACTACCAGCACCCTTGAACAGGTCTCCTCTGGTGGCTTTTGGAGACTCAAAAGTGCCAGGTGCGCCAGGTGGTGACCTGTTGGAGGGTGCTGATGTTGAAATGATAAAGGGTTATAGATCAGCAACTGGCTAAACCTGCATGTCGCAATGAACCCTTCCGATCCAAACACAGAAGCTGTGACATATGTGACATATTGTATAAGTGGATTCATCTTTTCTAATCTGTTTATAGGCACTATACTGAGACTATACTCTCTTAATTCTATTGAACCTCATGTCTAATCAATCCGTGGCCAACAAAACATCTCGTGATCCTTCATCCATGCGCCCGTCCAACCGTCCAACCCCCCGGTGGCAACGAGGCTCCAAACGGTTGAAAGCCCGGTGGCAACGAGGCGTTCTGAGAGCTCTCGCTTGAGACGGCCTGGATGAGCATCTCCGGGGAAACAAAGACTGTATGGGCCATGGGATGCCATGGATGTATATTTTCATACAAAGATCAAAGATCCCCAACCAATTGATTAGACTGGTCATCACTGGTCTATGTTCATTCTTCCTTGAGGTCGAACTGGCAGGTCTCGCTATTTTGAGTACACACCCACTTACACACCGGGCACAAAATCATCCCAGCACCCCAGCCATCACCAGGCGCAGTCACCCGACCAGATCTGGGTAAACCCACCCAGTGAATTCCCACCCACCAAATCAGATTTTGGTCAGGCGCAGTCACTGTCCACCTGCCTGGTGACCCGGCTGGACTATTTTCCCCCTCGTGGCTACGTCCAGAGTGGCTAAAGCACCGCTCAGGTGGCCCTAATGCGAAGTCGGCGACCGTCCGGGTCAGCGACCATCGTGAAATCCAACGACATCAGCGAAAGCACAAGCTCAAAGGATTCTGGTCCTAAGGACACCCCCCACAAACACACCCAGCAGGTTTTGAAGTCATTGGACCAGTCTCGTCTGGTCAGGTCGCTTTTTGGCCCTCCCCTGAACAGTGGGTTTCTAGGTAGTGGCCGACATAGGCAGACGTCGGCTCCAGCTCCAAAAGTTTGAGTCTTGTCGAATACCTTGGAGCAACATCCAATCATGTTCTTCATCAAGACTTCTCTTCTTCGCAAAGAACTATTCCCACCTCCCACCAGAACACCCGTCACTACTTTACCCCCAGGAACATATCTGCGAGACTCTGAACATCAGCACATTCGCTCGCCTCCATCGGCACTTCGGCCGCGCGACTTGGCGCGGAAACGGCGTCTGCGGGTTCCGGCTCGGGGGCTTCACCTGTATCGCGTGTGGCGAGAGATCGATGGCTGGGACAAGAGAAATCCAAAGAAAACCTGGACAGGAACGGGAATTTGAGACACTTTCCATCATTGACCTATGAATGTGGTTGTGGTTGTGCCGTTGTACCGTGGCTCATATGGCAAAACATATGGCGCGAGCGCCGCAGTGACATGGGACTGAAACTTGGGGAACGCTTGCACCCTGTTAGCAACTACTTATAACTGTATAAAAACGCATGGTTGGAATCTGGCTGATAGAGCAACACGGGTTTGTTGCTTGGGTATGACTGGGATGTTCTACTGGCATGAAGAGCTTCATGCGTTTGCAAGTTTTTGAACCAAATAGAATGTGTACGTAGTCATGAAGTTGTGACGGAACTGTTGTGACTTTTTGGATGTGCATACACATGTTGTTGGTCTGTTGGTCGAATTCCCTTGCTCTGAGCACCAGCTTCTTCTCCATGGAGAGGATACATCAACTTCGGCGGTTTGCCTTGTAAAGGAGCTCAAGTCTTCTGAGGTGCAAGGAAATGTTACCACGATGCAGGATCAGTCTCATCTGTCCAAAAGCATGTCTGGCAGCCATAGCGATTTCGGCGTCAGTCATCGCTTCAAGAAAACATCGTCGAAACACCCAGACACATTCTGAGGACCCCAAAGGCAAACCTCACTCTTGGGTGAAGAACCGCGCTTTCAAGGTGAACAGGCTCTTGCCCGGCCTGAATCAGGCCTCTGAGCCGAGCTGGGGATCCCCTTGGTCCATCCGAGCCGCCACCGCAGCCCAAGCACTGAGACCGGACGGAGCTGTTTACCCTGCCGAAGAACCCGTGAAGTGTCTGATTTACCGGCCATCCCAGCTGCACTCTTGCCCAGATCTTGCATGTGTGGAATAGCATGGATGAAAACCATTTCATGATATTTCATGACCCATCCATGTACTCTTCCTGTCCGGTCAGGTCCAACGTCCCTCGTGACAATCTCCGCCTGGGAGCAGCGACTCTGCCGAGCTCTTGGAAGTCGCCCCTCGTGGCTCGCTTCGCACGCCGCGAGGGGAACTCGTTTTGAGAGAACGATCGCTCACCGGTGGATCGGCCTCGATTCAAACGAGAGTCAGAGTCAGTGTAACAGTGTAGTCAATAATATGTCAGTGTAGTCTACTGTAGCTTGGCATGTCAAAGTCATCATGTCGAAACAGAACACATATATGGGTCAGGGTCGTTCTCCAATCCTTAATGAAGTTCCAATGCCAGTCCGAAGACACACCCAGGATCACCAGGATTCTCATTGCACAAGAAGTGCCTGAGACTGCTTTATGTTTTGGACATCTTGACAAAGTCAAGCTGACCAAGTCCAAACCTTGAATCGCCCAATTTCCGCCTTGCTGCTCTGAGCCAGGGAAGCACCTTGTGAGGATTGTCAGATGGGCAAGTGGGGAAAGTGTAACTCTTCACGTACACTACATCATATTGGGCGTATTTGAATAGTTTCTTGTAGAGGGAGACCTTTCAATTGGTGGGCTTTACGATGTGTTCATTGATTCTTTCTTTTTATGTTTTTTTTTTTCCGCTGGTGGTCTCCCTATTTTCAGATGCCCGCTTTGAGCACAATAGAGGCTTGGCCACTGAAGAACACCTCAGTCTTTGCCCTCTCACACTCGAGAAGAGCTTTGGCCCTTGAAGGATGCTTGGGCCACTGAACACTTCTGCTCGTGTGGGTCTACCAGCCCAAAGTGGCACCATCACACGATCTTTAAAAACAACATGGACACCCTGAAGAATTCTGCATAGCATTGGACATGCAGAAAACATCAGAAAACCATCCCATTGGAAGGGCGGAGTCGGATGCTTTTGACAGCGTCCCCAAGCGAAACTCAACGTCTCGAAGGGCCACCTCCGTTTGGGCTTTCAAAGCATCGACCCTGAAGATTCTCCTGCAAATAAAACCTACAAATCAACAAGATCTAAAAGTAATCAACCCCACCAGGCCTACAACCTCTAATTACCCCCCCTTGTCTTCCAAGAACTCTGCCTCACCAAGCTGGGGCTTGGCTCCTCCTGGCGTCCGGACACCGGGAGAAATCTGGCCCTGCGTTCCGCTGCCCATACCGAGGCAACGCCTAGTTCCAGGGCCCTTCTTTCAACAAGTGTACCAGCCCCCAGTCCGTCCCGCACTTGTAACAATGCCTCCTAAATAGCACAACTTCCGCAGATGCAAATGCCCTCAATATTGACCCATATCAATATGTGAACTTGTAGAACAGATTCTATCTCCTCACCAGTTCGAAGAGGGTTTTCTGTGGTGAGATGGCTGGATGGCCGGCTGCTGGATGGCTGGCGGCTACTGTAGGTCGTTCCGGGTCCGAATTCGGTGCGAGCTCGAGGTCTACATGATCTCCACATCCCACGAGACTTGGTCTTTTTTGGACACATCGAGCTTGAGTAACACTTAAAAGAAGAACGAGCTCAAGTGAGAGGAGGTAGGCATTGCAAAGGCAAAGCTCCAAGCATGCGTGGTACTTTGTCTGAAGTCTTGTTTGTTCTTTTTATCAAGGACTTCAACGGATGTTGTTAGCTACTGGTTAGTAGGTTGGAGGCCATTCCTACTAGTAGCAAGAAACTGCTACGTATTTTATCAGATGCTGAAGGGTATATAATATATACCCATCATGCTAGTACCTCTCAGTGCCTGACCTTCTTGAGAGGATCAACAGCTAAATCAGAGTGATTGGCTGTTTGTTGGACAAGTTGTGTTGTTACTAGTAGCTTCTTGCTCCTAGTAGCCACTGCCTCCAACCTACTTGCAATGGCCTCCATCTAGTAGCTTCTTGTTAGCTTCTTGTTTCTTGGAAAAGTTGTGTTCTTCACAATTGTTCTACTTAGCAATGTGCAAGCATGTCAAACCATCTTCTCCTTGCTGGCTGATACTTGTGTTTATTTGCCATTATTTGTCACTCGCCTGAGTGAAACCGGACCAAAACAAGATCAAATTGACACCTTCCAGGCAGAGTTTTGACAGGCACAACTCGTCCTCCATGCGGCGTGGTTTCCGTGCAGCCCCGAATTCAAACTTTATGATCAAACATCGTGAGTTGTAATGAGGAATGTCAATGAACACCGACCATGGTTGGCTGTCAATGATCTTTCATACATATTCCAGAACTGCAGCACCTGCAGGGTT